AAGAAAGAAAGAAAGAAAGAAAGAAAGAAAGAAAGAAAGAAAGAAAGAAAGAAAGAAAGAAAGAAAGAAAGAAAGAAAGAAAGAAAGAGTCAATTATCTCATTCTCCAAGAATTGTTTCACTCATCAAGAATGATTTCCCTATCCACCTTCCTGTAAAGACAGTGGCCTACAGATCCCCCATGATCCCATGATCACTACATTTCTAAAGCCATTCCTTTTCTTTCTTGGTCTGGCATGAGTCATACTCCCAGCTGTGGCCTCACTGTTAGCTGAGTGGGCTTTCCTTCTACCCACCCCGGGCTCCATAGAACCAGGAACTGGCCATTTAGTTGCCAGAATAAAGGAGAAAAGCAGGTTCTGGCAGCTTGAGGAAGAGAAGGAAGTTGTAAGCATGGAAATGGAACCATTTTGCCTGCTTTGGGTTTCTCCACCAATTTGGGAAGTGGGATAACTTACCTATCTTTGAATATTTCTTCAATAAATAGGACAAAATGAGATACGATAGTATTACGGGAACACCAAGTAATAATCTGCCATTGGCATCCCAAGCTCATAGGCAGAGTTGCTCTGGGACTGTGGATATTATGGAACTGGTAATTATCAACAAAGTAAAGCATAGTTATTTTCTTCAATGGGAGCTTTTGAAACTACTCCAAGGAAGGTGAAAATAATGAAGGTATGAATTGGTTATAGGAATTGGTAAGGCTCAGGAAACCCCACAGACAAACAGTCTGGTATTGTGGAAAAGGATTGTTTAAGATAAGCAATGCAGGCTGGGCGCCGGTGGCTTATGCCTGTAATCCTAGCTACTCAGGAGGCTGAGATCTGAGGATCATGGTTCAAAGCCAGCCAGGGCAGGAAACTCCTGTGAGATTCTTATCTCCAATAAACCACTAGAAAACCAGAAGTGGCACTATGGCTCAAGCGGTAGAGCGCTTGCCTTGAGCTGAAGAGCACAGGGACAGTGCCCAAGCCCAGAGTTCAAGCCCCACGACCAACAACAACAACGACAAAAAAATGATGAGCTAGGCTCAGTGGCTCAAACCATAATCTTAGCTACTTAGAAGGCAGAGATTGGAGGATCAGTTCCAGGCCAGCCAGTGGGAGTGGATCATTTCACAAGATTCCATCTCTGTTCCTGGCTGCAAGTAAGGATGCATGTCTACTATCACAGCTACAAGGGCAGCACAATGGCTGGGCACAGTGGCACCCACTTGTCACCACAGTGACACTAACAGGTGCATGTAGAAAGATCAAAGTCCAGGCTGGCCTGGGAATAAAGCATGATGCTACAGTGAAAATAACCAAAGCTGGGCACCTGTGGTTCACACATGTAATCCTAGCTACTCACAAAGCTGAAGGGGACCTAGAAGATCAAGGTCTGGAGCCAGCCAGGGAAAAAATTGTCAGAGAGACTCCATCTCCAAGTAAGCAATAAAATGTCAGACTATCGGGCATGGCTGAAGTGGTAGAGCACCAGCCATGAGCAAGAAAACCTGATCAAAAGCACAAGAATCTGAAGTTAAGCTCCAGTAGTGGCAAAAGAAAGTAAAAGGAAGGGGAAGGGGAAAACAACAACAACAACAACAAAAGAAAGAAAGAAAGAGAGAGAGAGAAAGAAAGAATTCCTAATTCAATAACTGAATCCAGGTACACTGAAATGGTTGAAATTCTTGCTAAAGAATTCACAAGTCTGGTTTTTAAAATGAAAAATGACCTCAGAGTATTCAAACAAATAAATGAATGAAGGAAGGAAGTCAATTCAATATCTGGACAAGAAAGTTATCAAGAGTTAGGCATTAATTCTATCTGTGCATCTAAGAAGGCAGTGCCCCTGTAACTTCCAAGAGTCTAAAGCTGACTTCAACTGCATAGCTTTTATAAGCTTTAGAGCCAGTTGTGTTTGTAGCTGGAGACAGAGGATCACAAGGTGGAGGCAGTCTGGGCTACATAGCAAGTTCAAGGCTAGCCTGACCTACGTAACAGTAAGATTCTGCCCCAATAACTGAAAAATGAAGGGAGGGAAGCAAGGAGGGAAGGAGGTGGGAGGGAGAGCCCTTCTTCCTGAAAGATAATGGACATCTGCTTTGCTAAACTCCTTCCGGCACACCATTCCCCCACAACACTAAGAGAAAGTAATCACTCCGACCTTTACTAATATTCCACTACACGTATGTATAATTTTTCTTTTTGTCCCACATTATAGTGCTTTGATCTCTGTCTCCTTCCATGAGAGAAACTATTTAGCTCCAGCATGCAGACTCTGGACTCCAAACAGCTTAGTTTTTAATCCTAGCTTTACCACTTATTTACCAATTGTGTGACCATATGCCAGTTTCTTAAGCTTGGAACTTCAGTTTCCTCATCCATAAACCTATGCACAACATCAAGTACAAATCAGCCCACACATCATAGGGTTGTGAGAACCCTATGCTTTAACATAAGTCAAAATGCCCAAAGAATATTCAGTGCAGAGTGTACTTGATGAAATGTCTGCAATTAGCAGGAATTCTTTAGCCATTTTGACAGATTTCTCTTGTATCCTAGCCAGAAAGATATGTCAGGAACAATAACAAGTACTTCTAAAAGGCTCAGTGTACATATATCTTGCCCACTTTTAACATTAACTTGAACCAGTTGGATGAAGGCTGTGAGGCTGTGTTGTCACTAAATGTTATAGAATTATTTTCCCTTCTGTGGCTGCAATACTGTTTCATTGTGGTTATTAATAACTGAGACCACATGTTCAATAAGATCTAGATCCAAATCCTAGCTTTACCAGCTTTGTGAACTTGAGTGGAGATGAATACCCCATAATCTTGTTAAATAACTATTTCTTCATCTACTGTGTATAGTCTATGTGAAGAATAAAGGAGATTAATCCATATCATTGTATGCTTGTATTTAGCATCAAGTCTGCTACATAGTTAGCCTCAACAAATAGAAATCATACTAGAAATCTATTCCTACTTTAGATTCTGGTCACATATACAAATTCTGGATTAGCCACTTACCAGTCTTATCTGTTCTGGTAAATGTATTTTTGATGCGTTTGAAAATGAGGTTAGTGTAACTCAGAAGCTATGTTGGTTCTGCCATGATTTTAACCAATACATTATTTATTTCTTAACAATTAAAATATATAGACCATCAAAGAGATGACAGAAAATAGACAGAAGTGTCACAAGTTTATGTAAGTAGTGCCTGAGATACTACAGATACCAATGAAAGATGTTCAAGGACATTTCCTTCTATAGTACAACAGTAGGATGATGGAAATAAATGGATTGATTAACTTTAGATTAGTCATAACTTGAAATAGTGTTTACTGGAAATGAATACCCTGCAAGACCTACATTTTGAAGGTAGAAGCAGGAGTCCCAAGGCTTACAGCTATAAAAGACTGCAAGTTCATGTACCAGTTGAGATTTTACTATGCTAGTATTTTTTAGTAGTATGTTAACATTTGAGTTAGTGCTTAAGTTCCAAAGCTTCCTAGGGGCTGAGCAGTTTTCCCATTTGTCCTCATAAGCCTCATTATTGTATTTTGTATGTCTGTTCCAGTACAGAAGACCTGCTGTTCTGTAAACTTTTTACTTAAGGTTGATGTTCTACCACTTAAGCCATACCTCCATTTCTGGCTTTTTGCTTGTTAATTAGAGATAAGAGTCTCATGGACTTTCCTACTTGAGCTGGCTTTTAACTTCAGACCTCAGATATCAGTCTCCTGAGTAGCTAGGATTACAGGCATAAGCCACCAGCACCCAGCTTGAGTTTCACCATTTTTTTTTTAGTTTCAGTATTTTTAATATATAACTTTTAATAAGAGGATTCTTCAAGAATATATATTGCCACAAACACTCTCTTTAAGTCTTACCCTTCTGTATCTAAGCTGTTTAAAGAGAGATCGCTGGCTATTCTTGATTTTTCTGTTTCTCTATGGTATGTCTATGTTTTCCTGGATTTTCAGAATTCTTTGAGAATGACATATGTCATTCATTATTATCCACTCACTGGTACCACCAACTCTTGATGATTTGAATTAGGTTGACTAGTTGCCTGCAGTGTGCAAAACTGCCTAACAGTTCAAGAATTTGATTGTTACATTTAAGAGACTTACAGTCTAGCAGGAAAAAGGAATATTTATGAATAAATGCTCACTTACAGTCTAGCAGGAAAAAGGAATATTTATGAATAAATGCACTCTAAATGGTATATATGAAGAGCAAGAGACAAACTTTATGAATGAGACATCTCACAGTCCTAGATTGTTTTTACCCATGTCATCTTCTAGAATTGCTATAACTGGGTTTGACTTTCCTATTTCATGACAGTTACTTCCCTTTTGCCATTCACATTTCATGTGACAGTACTTCCTTTTCACCATTCCTAGGCGTTTACAGGAGTTGCTGGAGCACCCACTGCTTTTGGCTTACCTATTTTTGTGTGGTTTGAGGAAAAAAAGCATGTATCCTGAGCTATTTTTATCTAGCCATGTTTGTGTTTCAGGATAACCCTGTTATGTGGAAGCTGACAAATATATGTAGTAAAGGGGAATACATCA